TAGAGTATTAGATTTCTTTTTCTCCTACTGGGCAACTGAACATAACACATCTGCTATCATGAATCAGGTCCATTTCACAGTAAATATACATGAGAACATTCACAACGATACTCAGTCGATAACCTTCATGACATCCTGTTGCATATTTGTCTTTACAAGGCTTCTTTTATCAAAAGAATCATTAACTTTGAGGCCTGACATCCAGTGGCCTTTAGATCTTGTTTTTCATTTGACTTTCAGCCTTTTTGTCAGCAAATTTTTCTAACAAGTGCATGTCTACTGTCCAACACTAACATGCTCAAGCCAGCTTATCATACGTGTTTTAAAAAGTAGAATGAAACATGACTGTTTTTCATTGCTGTCATAGTGGGTTGAGAAAAGCAGTTTATTGTGGAAATCAAAAAAAGAAAACATCTACATTGAGAATTTTAAAACTGACAATTACACAGCCAGTATGCATTAACTGGCACTCACTTAGGGGAGGTAAGCAAGCTTCCCTGTGAAGATGGCAAACATACAGCTTCTGTCTTCAGCCTTTTATAACTGTGAGAGATGAGGAGGTTAGGAATACTCTGTCAGATTCTACCTTTGAGCACTGAACTATTAATTTACACAAAATACTACATTAAAAATACTATTAAAACAACGCAAAGCGGCACACTGAGAGTTTAAAAGGAACCTTCATAGTTCAGAAGACTGCCAAAATCAATACATGCTTTTTAAGCTGAATTCAATTTAATTTTCTCATTGTTTTGTTTGCCACGTGCTGATCATCAAAGATGTGCACTGAAGTCTGAGCCTTTATGGGACATCCAACCCCTTAGAATCGCTCAGGTTGGAAAAGACCTTAAAGGTCATCAAGTCCAACCACAACCTAACCATACTACCCTAACAACCCTCTGCTAAATCATGTCTCTGAGCACCACATCCAAATGGTTTTTAAACACATCCAGGGATGGTGACTCAAGCACCTCCCTGGGGAGCCTATTCCAGTGCCTAACAACCCTTTCCGTAAAGAAGTTTTTCCTGATATCCAACTTAAACTTACCCTGGCGCAACTTGAGGCCATTTCCCCTTCTCCTGTCACCTGTCACCCTTGTGCCAGAGATGCCAGCAAAATGATTTGGCGATCTCACAAAATACTTGCAAGGCTGCACACTAATGAACAACTTCAGCAAAAGATTTTAACTCCACAGAAAGATTACACAGACAAAGCCAGGCGGCAAAGAGCAAAGCAAACAGCTCTTATCCACGTGCCTCTGAAGAGAGAAAGAGCGAATAGAGAATATATAAAATAATTTTTTTCATTGCATGTATTCCATCTCTTTGAATGTGGGCCCCTGTGAAATTCAGTCTGAAGTTTTAACTCTATCCACTTTCATTTGCTACTGCAGCAGTAGCAAGTTATTTGTTTAGAGCATGCTGAAGGATATTTAACACAGATGTAATGCAAGGAAGAGTAAGCGCGGGATTTCAGGGCACCATCACTTACCTAGAATTCCCTCACATACCTAAAATCTATAAAAGAAACAGATGATTTGAGGTATACTTTTTGGAAGGTGTTTGCATTTCAGTCTCACAAAAAATACATATACAATGTTATTTTGTAACAGCTGACCTGTTGCTCTGCAAAGCAGTCAAGCAGACAGTTTAAGTCCCACACAAGGACTCACCTCTTGGATGTCTTTCTTTCTTCTTTTTTTTTTTTTTAAAGCGAAGTTGCAGAAGCATAAGTAATTACAATTTTTATACTTTTAAGGGCTGGGATGCTCCAGTTTTCATCAAAAAAGTAAGATTTGGCTGAGACAAACCACTGTTACAACCTGAATAGACTTTGTTTCTTCCAGGATAGACAGATGCTGCATTCATAAATACATGTAGACTGAAGAGATGAGGGTATTGTTAATTCCATCCTATTATGCTGTAGTCTAATTAAGGCAAATTGCTAAATGTGGGAATTTTAACTGGCTGCCTAAACCCTAGGGTGAGTCAAGCACTGCATACAAGTTTGGCTCTCACCTATCCTTGGGAAATTCCTGAATTGCTTGAGTAAAAGACATTTTGAGGAAAAATTCTCTCTTTTGGAGCTGTGTTGTTTGCATAAAATACTTATAGTAAAGGAAGGACAAAGACAGAAAGAACAGCACACTGGATCTAAAAGTCCTATATGAAATAAGATACTTGTACTCTGCTCACCAGGCTATAGAACATTTCATACAAAATCTCAGTCTAGAACACATTAGACAAAGTAGCTTAGATAAGAAATTTAAAACTCTGCTCTAGAGAAAAAAATTATTTTTTCATACATCAGGAGTATCTTCTCCATTACTTGATAATAGTAAACCAGACAAACTGCACTATCTCTGCCTTACTGTAGCATCACTTAATTTTCTCATTTTCAACTTGCTTCAGGATTTTTTACTTTTTTTAACTCCCAACTACAGAAACAAAATTAAAAACACAGATCCATACACATTCCTATAAGAGACTGGTTCAATTTTCTCTTATCATTAAAATGTTTCTCTCACTGTACTGAAACCTTGCCCAACAAGTGAGGGACTTGATTCAGTGCATGAGACACTGACTTGTAAGTCTTCTGTTCTACATTCAAATACTCTTGAACTTCTTTGGTCACAGGTGCCAATTTTCAACATTTTTCAAGAAAATGACAGCAGTCCAGCTCTGACTGTGAGCAGTTATGAACCTCTGTTCTTCACAACAACATCTTAATGTGTGTAGGCTTTGGCATTTATGTTACAGATTCATATATATACAAAAACATTCATATACTTCTTAAATTTATGTTATATATATATAATATATATATATATATAAAATGTATGAGTACGTAAACATTATTTTGTGTATGTATGTGTCTTTTTAAGTATGTTTCATGTGTTAACATGTGAATATCAGTAGAGGGAGTATAGTATTTAGACACATCAATCTGCTCTTAAAATCAGAATAATTTTTGATATTAAATAACTCCAGTATTTTTTAAAACTCTACTTTAAAAGAAAATTAACTGTATTTAAAGAGTGTTCTCTTCTGTGGTGAGATACTTGCAAATGTGATTTGCTGATGATAGGGCAAAGGATTTAAATTGAATATGAAAAATCCTCTCAAATGTAAAGAAATCACTTGCAAATTGAAGGATGGTGCTGTGGGACAGCCTACAAACCTTTTAACATACGACAGTTACAAGTGACATAGGATTTAAATATAACTACAAAGGATCAAAACTTTCAAAAAGAAAGATTTTACAAATGAAAATTATTCATGTCAATTTTTCAACTCGATCAACTTTCTTTACAATTTTCTAGTCCTTGCTAAATTGAATTGTTCTGGAGTTTATCAAGTGTTTGTTTTTGTAAGCTATAGAACCAGGTCTTTGTATTTTTTGAGAACAGATAGAGGCAGCGTTAGAACACTATAAATCTGTTGACTTTAAATTTAAGATTGTTATTTTGTAAGCTGGATATATGTCTGTCAGAGTAAGCTAGCGAAAATGCAATTTTCTAATTCACATGATAATAGTTCCTGAAGCTTTGAGAACTTCCAGAGCAGTTATGTTTTGAGTCAATACTTTGAAGTATATCATGAAGGACAGCCACCTTTAGTTCAGGAGTGCACTGATTTTTGTCCAAGGTTAAGGGTTTCAAAAACATGGTTTGAACACAGTGAAAAGATACTTGAACTAGGATGTCAGCCAGCAATTTAACCCGCACTGTCCAAATGCTTCTTTTGATTGTCCTAGACTATTAGTATCAAAACATAAAAGAATAGCACAAAGCACTGTGACTCTTTTTTCTGGTTTCGGCTTCCCAGTACTACCAGTGCTGGGGCAAACAGGATGATGATGTTTCTTCCATTAAACTGAGATGCCTTTGAGCATGATTACAATTCTTTCTCCAGCCAGGATTTCTGCCCACCAATACCACCGCTCCTTTAGAGGCAGTGAAAGCATGTGTCAATTTCTTCTTCACCAACACCCCCAACACTACATTGTAACTGGATGGAACATAAATTTTAGCAATTGTGTATCAGCAGTGTTGCAACTTGGCACAAGTCCAGGATGGGTGGGAGCTGTTCCCATATTAACTACTAACTTTAGTTTTGCTACACCAACAAGAGAAAGTGTGTCTTCTGGAAAACCACACAAGAGGGGAAAAAAGAAAGGAAATAAGTTTTTCCAAAGTCTGAACCTCCCTAAGGTTCATCATAAAAATCATCCAGGAGATCATAAACTATCAACATTCACTGAATGCTGAGAATGCCTGACTTCTGGATATGTAGCATGGATAATTTTGCAGCCTATCTTTCAATTCCAGCTGGAATTAGAAATATCAAATTGTTTAGGGTGGCTATCAATACTGAATGATTTTTCCACATTAGATTTTTATCAGTGGACTCAATAATTAGAGAAAGGCCAATGGAGAGTATACATCTGGAGAGCATTCATACTCAAATTCTTCTGATTGAAGTATACAAATAAAAACGAAAGGGCTTTGTTGTCAGTTTTTCTTTGTTTTTATCTCTTTAAGAAGCACAGTTTTTTTTTCCTATGGAAGGGTCCTGTTCAAAAGCAGAGGTTCTGTCCTATAGGCACTGATCACCACAGAGAAAAAGTTAAGCTTAGATAAATGAGTTCAGTGATTGACTTGTTATGGGTTGGGCCCTACTCTCATTTCTTCCACTCCTTTCAACTCTGTACAAAGCATTTGTGTGCTTTGGTAGGGGCAAAATGCACAGTATTCATCTGTATCTTCGCAGATTCTGGTTTGAAAGTCTATATATATAGCCAGATATTATGCTATAACTTTATGATGTTGTATTTGAAATGTCTGGAATTAGTTATGCATGGGCTATATAACGACCATTCCTTTCACATTTGAGATGTCATCTACGTAAAGATAGAAAAAAAAAAAAAAAAAAAGAAAAAAGGAAAACCATTTTTCAGTTCTGCTTTGTGCAAATACATGGGAAAAAATTAAACTCACTTGCAGGAAATTTTTGTGCGATCAGCCACCATGGTCCATTGCTGCTGATTTGTTGAGACCTCTATGTAGTAGCTGTAGCTTCGATCATCACAGTCCCAAAGCAGTAACCTAAGTACGAAGGAGCAGGTAAGTGATAAGTAAAACAAATGCCAAACCAAGATGCTTACTTATGTTTCCTAGTCCTGTACTTCTGCCTCTTTACCCTTTTTAATATTTACCTGTTTCTTCTGGAATGTGTCTCCAATGCTCAGGAAGGTCTTTACTGTTACTGTCATCTCAATGTTATCTCTATACTCGTTATCCTAAGGCCAGTAACTGACTTAGAATGACCATCTTACTAACACAATTCTATGACATTCACCCAATTACTTCTAATTTATTTGAAAGTCAGTAAATGAACTAATCTATTTGGCAAGTGGCATTGCCTCCTTTAAACCTTAGTCAAGGATCTTTTTTCAAAGGTCATTTAAAATGGGAAAGATAAAAAGATACTGCTGACTAAGAGGATTACTCTGTCTTCTTAACTGGATTTTTCTTTTTCTTTTTTTTTGTAAATATATAAGAATGTTTTTTTAAAAAAGGCAAGTAAGAAAAATGGGAAGTCTCAGTTCTAATTTATCATAATATAAGGAAGGAGGCATGGAATTCTTGAGAAAATTGCTAAAGAAAAAGGAGAAAGAAAAAAGAAAGAGGCCCCAAAGGACTCATTCCATATGCATCCTCACAAATGTGCACCTCTTCAGGAAATGTGCTAAATGTTACAGCCAACAGCCTTCAAGTTCCATCCTTATCTCCCAAAGAAGAAGATCAAAAGCATCAGGAATGTGATTTAACCTAAGCATATCATTTTCAAAAAACACACACACAAAAAAACACACATGACAAATGTATCCTCTCAACTCCTTCCCCGTACTTGGGAATTCTCTCTCTTGTAACAGATCACAGAATATCCCAAGTTGGAAAAGATTCACAAAGATCACAGAGTCCAACTCCTGGCTTCAGATTGCACGACCCAACATTCAAACCCAATGTCTGAAAGTGTTGTCTAAACACTCCTTGAACTCCAGAAGCTTGGGACCACAACCACTGACCTGAGCAGCCTATTCAAGGGCCCGATCACCCTCTGGTGAAGAACCCTTTCCTAACGCCCAACCTGACCCTCCCTGACACAGCTCCATGCTGTTCCCTCAGGTCCTGTCACTGTCACCAGAGAGCAGATCTCAGTGCTGCCCTTCTGCACCCCTTGTGAGGAGCTGCAGCTGCTGTGAGGCCTCCCCTCAGCCTCCTCAGCTCTGGCCTGAACAAACCAAGGCACCTCAGCCGCTCCTCACACTCCTTGCCCTCCCAGAACTTTCACCATCTTCATAGCCCTCCCTTGGATGCTCTCTAACAAGTTTATGTCCTTCTTACATCATGGCACAGAAACCTGCACCCAGTGCTGGAGGAGAGGCCACACAGTGCAGAGCAGAGAGGGACAACCCCTGCCCTCGCTTGGTGGCAGTGCTGGGCCTGAGCACCCCAGGGTATGGATGTCCACTGAGGCTGCCAGGGCACACTGCTGACTCGTGTTCAACTTGCAACCAACAGAATCCCCAGATCCTTTTCAGCCTCTCATTCCCAAGTTCGTAAGCACATCCAAGATTGCCCAATTACAGGTGCAGAATCTGGAACTTCTTGGACTGAAGTTAAACTTCATGCTGTTGGTGACTGCCAAGCCCCCCCCAGGTTATTAACATCTCTCTCAAATGTCTCTCTACACTTGAGGAAGGCAACAGCCATACCTTCAAGTCCTGTCCTGTCCTGTCTCCAAGTCATCAATGAAAATATTAAAGAGAACTGTCCCTAAAATGGAGTCCTACAAAAACCCACAAGTGACTGGTCACCATCCTGATGAAACCCCATTTGCTTTTGTCCTTTGAGCTGGACCTGTCAGCCAATTGCTCACCCATCAAGTAATGTATTTGTTTAACTGTACACTAATACTTTGTTCAGAAGGATACTATAAGAAACAGTTATCGAAAGCTTTGATGAAATCCAAAAAGATTATATCGATTATTCCCTTGTGAAGTTTGGGTAACCCTGTCATAAAAGGAAATTAAGTTCATTGAACAGGACTTCCCCCTTATTAACCCATGCTGTCTGTGACCAATGACTGAATCGTCTTTTATGTGTTTTTCAATAACTTCCAGAATAAGCTTCTCCATAATTTTGCCATGCACTGACTTGAGATTGACAGGCTGGTATCTTTTTTCTGTTTCAGTTAGAGATGACTAGATGCAAAATCAGCATGATGATGATAATGCTCTTCAAACTACACAAAATTTTGAAATTGCAATATTCTGAAGTGCACAGTCCACATTGTATCTACTATGTAAAAATATGCTTTGCTGATTTTGTTGTTATTAAAACCCTTGTTCTCTGAACCCTAACACAATACTTATATGGAGAATATATGCCATACTGCAACATACTGGCAATTACCAGTTGTTGCTATCTCTTGATTATCAGGTTCTGTCTCCAGTGCCAGCTAACAATTCCTAGAGCAAGAAATTGTTGGATTTGATTTACCCTGGGAATTGCTAGTTAGTCAATGAACCTGCTGTAGACAAATAAACAAAGAGCAGCTAACCATCCAAAATGGCTACAACTGCACTGATGACTTAAATCAGAGTAACTACAGCCACGTACAGAGAACTGTGAAAGCCAGGTAATACAGACAATCTGGGTTCATTCTTTAGCTGAGTGGAATAGCTACGCAGATCCACACTTTTCAAAGTATAATAGACAAGGATCCAGTAATGAAAATAGCTGAGACATTTGAAAAGAAAAGCAAATTGTGCCACTCTACAGATTTTCCCAGGCAAAGTTTCAAGCTGTCTCTCTTTAATCATATTTCAGAAGAGTGTTCAAGTTTTATATTATGAATTCACTTCTTGTCGAGAAAATCTTTCTTGCTTTTAGCTGCTACTTCTGCTGGAAGAAACATTAACTGCAAACATTATTGCTCACTTCTAACATTGAAAAACAAGACAGCCAGAGGGGGAAAATGACCTCACCATTTGCTGAACACAGAATCCTTTCTCTTACAGAGAAATGTTGTCCAAAACAGTAGCTGGACTCTTCAGAATTGGCTTATTAAGGACTTGTGTGACTGTATTGTTGCCTTAAAAACAGTGCTATTTCCTTCTGTTTAGTGCAATCTGGTTTAGTTCTTTATTTTCCATTTTGGAATCCTAGCATTCAAAGTGGAATTAGGTCTACAGAACAGGCAGATTTTAAACAAACTCCCTCAATGCCCCCAGCTAAGCCCAGCTCATTAATATTATCAAAAATAATGAGCCAACAAAAGTAGCTGTAAGAAGCTCAAGCAAAATACTTAACAGAAGACTTTTTGTACATTTGAATACTCTGTAAATGAAAAAATTCAGAGCTGACAGAAAAAATAGTTGTCCACAGCAACATTTAAAACTAAACTAAAAAAACAAAAGAAAGAAAGAAAATCCAACCCCTGGGGCCTCATCAAATCTTCCCCATTCTGCTTTTCTACACTAGAAGGTGTCCAAATACTAAAACTGAATGAAGCACACTTTCTATTTTAAAAAACAAACAAACAAAAAGTTGATGAGTTAAAGTCCTCGATCTGTTAACTACTAATAATAGATGCTGAATTGATTGAATATCTATGTTTAGATGAACTCTTCCAAATGTTAGAAAGACATAAAAGAAAAAAAATACATAAATTTGTTTTCTTCTAAATGGTTGCTAAAATGCAGCTAATTATGGTTTTCAATAGGATCCTTTTCATCATGGAAGCTCAGTCCTGTTTCTTTGATCGAGGTTTTCAAAGAGTTTGAGTATCAGAAGCATGCTAGTGAATGTAGTTACAATTAACAATACTGTAATCAAAACTGGCTTGGATTTAGAGTAAAAGGCTAACTGGAAATATGTGTAACATGTACTCCTTTTAAGAATGCATACAATTGCTCTTTCCCAAAACAAGTTAAAAAGCTTGAAAAAGCATATGACCTGGGATTATTACAAAACAAACTAACAGTGAATGAAAAGTGGGAAGAATCTTTCCCAAAATAACTCAGCATGAATGCTTAATGTAGCTTTATCTTTCTATGGGACTTGTGAAAGAAAAAAAAAATTCTTACTTCACCTCTCTGCAGTATCTTTTCTAAGAAAGAGACAGGAAGAAGACTTCACCATAAAGTCTAGTTCAAATTTATTTCTGCATGAAATGCCTTTCTGGACAAGCAGAAAAGAAGTTTCTGTTTGATAAAATGAATATTCACCACTGCACATTGGGCACGAGGATCACTTTTTATGCCAGGTACAATAATTTTTCAAACATATCCCAGGCAAGTTACCAGGTTAAACTTTTGTAGAGGAACTGTGTTTTGCTATGATTGATATTAATTCACTTCAATGAAAATGTCAGAACTTACACTGGAAAGGCAGCTCTTCAAAGTAAAATTCCCTGCGACCCTAGAACTCTCTATATTAGAATAAAAAGTTAGATTAGCTTTTGTTAGTAACCTGTGCCTTCAAGATGAAGAAGGAAAAGCTGAACAAAGCTTTATCCAGCTCATTCCCTGGAAGATCATGAGTTTAAACATATGGCTAATATGCCACTTCCTTGGGCATTTAAGTGTAAGCCAGTAATCATTTAATGTGCTACTATTTTTTCCATCACATGCTGAAGATGCCTCATTTTACATAATAAGAGTTTTCAAATAAAAAGAAAATTTCACGTTATAGGTATGGGAAACTGACTGTATTGTCTGCTACATCAAAAGAAGCTGCTGCACTTTCTCAGCAGTACTTCCCTGAATGTCCTGGGTTCCCCTGTGATTGATTATTCTGTGCTTGTATGAGTATTCTGTGTTGTCTCTGCTTGCTTTTTACTATCAGAATCCCCCAAAAGATTGTCACTGTTTATTTCAGGCTGCTATATAACTATTTAAACAAAAGGTGATAGCAGAATACCAAACAATAGTGGTAAACTTACAGGATGACATTCACTAAATACTATAAAGTCAGTATTTATCAAATACAGCATAAATATTTCATAATATTATGCTCATAAACAATTTGCATGCTTA